AATTCCCTTCTTTTATTTTTCCCCCTCCCTCACTTCCCTTCCTTTTCACCCTTTTCCAAGCTGTTTGCTTTGCAATATGTTACTGGTAATGAGTTGCAGATAATGCAGTCTTAACTTGTTTTCTTCTAAGTATTTGAGTTCAAAACTCCTGTATCTAAAGAAATACGGTTGGGGTCATTAATAAAGAAAATCTTTCTATCTTACTAGAGCATTTGCTGGGTTTTTTGGACTGTGAGTCCAAAAGAGAAAAGGGTGGACCTGCACTGCCCTTGAACCAGCAACCAGCAAGCCCTCAGAGTTTGGAGCCTCTCTTCTCTATGGGAAGGAAGGGCTGGTTTGTAAATTGTAAGTGGGGTGGTGGGAGCTCGTTTGTTTGTGTTTCATTTTATTGGTTTCACTTTATAGCCATGTTGGCTTCAAACTCTCCAGCAATCTTCATGCTGAGCCTTCTGAGTTCTGGAATTTTAGGAATAAGCCACCTTTGTTTTGTTGTTTGTTTGAACATGCTTCTCACATTGTAAAGCGTGGTTGTTGACACTACCCAGCTGAGTAGCCAGGAAGCTCCCTTAGAGTGACAGGCAAATTAAAAGGTTTTCTGGGGCTAGGAATGTACTTCAGTTGATAGAATGCTTGCCTAACCTTTCACGAACCCCTTGGTTCAATCACCAGCCCCACATAAACTAGGCTTGGATATTTTTATGTGCATAAATGTTTTGCATGTACACACACATATGTGTATGCACCAGGTAAGGAAATGGGTATTGTATCCTTTGGAGTTACAGGTGGGTTTGAACTGCTCTCTGGGTCCAACCTCTACAGAAGCAACAAGTGCCAACCACTAAGCCACCCCTCCATCTGCTATGGCATACACCTTTTAATCTTAGCACTTGGAGGATGAAGGCAGGAGGACCAGAAGTTAAAGGTCATTCTCAGGTATACAAGCATTAAGACCAATCTGGGCCATGTGGGACATCCTCTCAGAAAAAGAAAGGGATGGATGGATGGAAGGAGGGAAGGAAGGAAGGCTTTCTGTCTAGGCTGTGTGTGTATGAGAGATTTGGGATTTATGTGGGGGTTGGTTGGTTTTGAAATAGGATCTCACTGTGTAGTCCAGCTGCCCTCACTGAGAGATCCACTGCCTCTGCTTCTGAGTGAGCGCTGGAATTCAAACTGCTTGTTCTTCAATCGTAATTAATGGGCATTTCCTGTAATGGGGTTCTCAGGTCCTTGATGGGTATTCCAGTGTGGAACTAATGTATACTGGCTGTGAGGCCACACTCCCTCACCTTCCAGCGGATTGGAAGTACTATACAAAGCTCACAGGAGGTGCCTGCGGAATAGATAGATACCTGGGAACCTAGCAAAGTGTGCTGTCCCCTAGCAAGATATTGGTGCCAAAAATAAAATTTGTTTTGTAAGGTCTTGTCCTGAGAATTTGAGGGTATTCAGAATGATTTGAAGGCTGTTTTTTGTTTTGTTTTTTTTTTTCTTTTTTTGTCTCCATTTCAGGCATTGTGTTTCAAACTAGTTTGACAGTCATAGTGAATTGTGTTGCCACCTGACTGTATGTGACAGCACTTTTATTTTCTACAAATTTGTTTTTCAGATAATGATACATTTGTTTGCATGCATGTTAGAGATAATAAAGCAAGGTCCTGTCACCTTCTCAGTGGTGACAACTTGAGTGATTGTAGCCCAGTATCACACCAGTAAAATGACATATTTTATGTGTCCACTTTCTTCACATTTAATCAATTTTATTTAACACTTGTTTGTGCCTTTGTCGTGTGTTTCTGTGTATTTTTCTCACTAGGATTTTTTCTGAACACCAGCATTTGTTTTTAAAAGCAGAGTACTACAATCAGAGCAGTCACTGTATCACACATAGTATCAATTGGGGATTTTTTTTTCATAAGTGTGCACCAGACCAGGGTTAGAGAACTATTTATTCCATCCATTGTCAAATTTAAAATACTGCAAGTTGTTCCATCATTAGACTAACCTAATTGAAATGGGGTTCCAGGGACCCGTAGGTTCTCCTGGTCTCCTTCTGGGAGGTTAGAAAAGGGGGAGGGGGGGAGTGTATCTTGAGAGGTATTTTATTTAAGAGAATTTCAGAGGTAGTTTTGGTAGGGTTTTTGTCCTTTCTGTTTTTGAGACAGGATCCAGTTATCTAACCCAGGCTGGCCTCTGCCTCCAAAGTGCTGGGAATACAGGTATGCACCACCATGACCAACTACTTTAATTTTCATTCCATTTTTTTTGTTTTGTTTTGTTTTGGTTTAGTTTTTGACAAAGCATCACTCTGCCCAGGCTGGTCTCAAACTTCTAGCAGTCTTCCTGCATGTGCCTTCAAGTTCTGGGATGACAGTTTTGTGCTACCCAACTCCGGCTAACATTTGCCTTTTTGCTGATTTTAGAACAAGAACTCTGGATCTCTCTATGCATTCTTGGCAGTAGTGACAGCTTGCTTTTTTTCTTAATTATTTTTTATTAGTTCAAATTAGAAACAAGCCTACTTCACATGTCAATTCCTGCTCCCTCCCTCCTCCCCCACACCCCCCACTAACATGCCACCCCATCCCCCCTCTGCTCCCCAGGGAGGGTAATGCCCTCCATGGGAGATTTCCAGAGTCTGTCATATCTTCCTGGGCAGGGCCTAGGCCCTCCCCCATGTGTCCACGCTGAGAGAGCATCCCTCCACATGGGACGGACTTCAAAGTCCTTTCTTACACCAGAGATAAATACTGATCTACTACCAGAGGCCCCATAGAGTTCCAAGGCCTCCTCACTGACATCAGTCAGGGGTCTGGATCAGTCCCATTCTGGCCTCCCAGACATCAGTCTGGGGTCCATGTGCTCTCCTTTGTTCAGGTCAGCTGTTTCTGTGGGTTTCACCAGCCCAGTCTTTTTTGGTTTTTTGAGACTGGGTTTCTCTGTGGCTTTGGAGCCTATCCTGGAACTAGCTCTTGAACTAGCTCTTGTAGACCAGGCTGGTCTCGAACTCACAGAGATCTGCCTGCCTCTGCCTCCCGAGTGCTGGGACTAAAGGCGTGTGCCACCACCACCCGGCACACCAGCCCAGTCTTGACTTCTTTGCTCTTCACTCCTCCCTCTCTGCAACTGGGTTCCAGAGTTCAGTTCAGTGTTTAGCTGTGGATGTCTGCCTCTGCTTCCATCAGCCACTGGATGAGGGCTCTAGGATGGCATATACGGTAGTCATCAATCTCATCATAGGAGAAGGGCATTTAGGGTAGCCTCTCCACTATTGTTTAGATTGCCAGTTGGTGTCATCCTTGGAAATCTCCCTAGTGCCAGATCTCTCCTCGAACCTGTAATGGCTCCCTCTATTATGGTATCTCTCACCCTGCTCTCCTATATTCTTCCCCCAGCTCAACCTTCCTGTTCCCCCATTTCCTCCTCTCCTCTCCCCTCCTGTTCTTCTCTCTTTCTCCCAGGTCCCTCTCCCCTACCCCCATGCTCCCAATGAAGATTATTTTCACACACACACATACCCCACTACTCCTTGGTATACCTTCCTTTCCCCCTAAACCCTATTTTTTCCTACTTAGTCTCCTAGTGGCTAGACTATTAAAACAGTACCCTCTCCCAGCAACTACTAGCAGTCATTATCAGTTCCTTAAGGAAGGATGAGGGTCCACGGGAAGTTGGAGAGAGGTCTTATGCAGGTATCCAAAGCCGCTGAGTCTGTGGTTCTAATAGCAGTGTCAGACCTGGGTGGCAGTGTTTCATGATACTCTTTCCCCATCTTCTTTTTTTTGTTTGTTTTGTTTGTTTGTTTGTTTTGAAGACAGGGTTTCTCTGTATTGCTATGGAGCCTGTCCTGGAACTCGCTCTCAGGGTGGCTTTGAACTCACAGAGATCTGCCTCCCGAGTGCTGGGATTAAAGGCATGTGACACCAACGTCTGGCTCCAGGTCTTGAATTCTTTTTGCCTTCACTTCTGTCTTAGGGTTTCTTTGCTTTGAAGAGACACCATGATCACAGCAAGTCTTTAAAGGAAAACATTTAATTGGGGCTGGCTTACAGTTCAGAGTTTTAATCCATTATTGTCATGGCAGAAAGCTTGGTGCTGGAGAGGTAGCTGAGAGTTCTCTATCTGGATCCCCAGGCATCAGGAAGAGAGAGTGAGCCACTGGGCTTGGCCTGGTCTTCTACAACCTCAAAGCTGAACCCCATGACACACTTCCCCCAGTTAGGCCACACTTACTCCAGCCAGGCCACTTGTCCCAATACTTTCAAATAATATCACTCTCTGTGAGCCTGTGGGGGCCATTTTCATTCATACTCATCTTTTATTATGTCCCCCAGGCCTTAGCCACAGAAAGGAGGCAGGGATTAGTGTACATGTCCAATTTAAGGCTGGGCATCCATCAGTCTCTTGACACAAGCCTCTCCATTAACCACCATCCTCTACAAAAATGAACTGCTTTGACCCCAGCTGAGCGCTTAACAGCCTGTGGGTAAAAATATTTAGAAAACAGTTCATTGGGAGAAAACAACTATGGTTGGTTCCCTGTATTACGCCATCAGGTTTATGTTGCCAGGTTAGTGCAGTCTAGCCAATCAAAGTAGCTGGTTACCCCCACAATGATCATGCACTGTTATACTGCTGGCCCATGTCTTGCCTTGTGGATTAGTACTGTGGCGCATATGGTCTTTAGCTGGGTAAGATCATTCTGGCTTAGTTCCTCCTCGATTTCTCTGTGTCCTTTAAACAAAGTGTATTAGTAGTGTCTTCAATATAGGGTCTAGACTTGAAAGAGAACTTAAAGATTAAAAGCCGTGTAGTAGTGACTCACACCTTTAATTGGAGCACTAAGGAGGCAGAGGCAGATGGATCTCTCTTGAGTTTGAGGCTAACCTAGTCTATAGAGCAAGTTTCAGGACAACCAAAAGTACACAGAAAAACCCTATTAAAAAAACAAAAAACAAAACAACAGCCAGGTGGTGCACACCTGCAGTCCCAGCACTCGAAAGCAGAAGCAGGAGGATCTCCGAGTCTGAGGCCAACCTGGTTTATAGAGCTAGTTCCAGGACAGCCAGGGTTGTTACACAGAGAAACCCTGTCTTGGAAAAAATAACAAACAAACCAAACGCATATGCTAGAGGACAGGATTTGAGTTCCTAGCACCCACACTAGACAGGCAGCTCACAACTACTTGTAACTCCAGCTGTAGAGGTATCCAACCCTTCCACCCTCAGCAGGGACCCCCACTTACGTGGATGTGTCCACACACAGACACACACAATGTTTAAAAATAATAAACCCCAGTCCTCGGGAAATAGAGTCAAGTGGATTTCTGTGATTTCAAAACTAGCCTGTTCTATGCAGTGAATTCCAGGCAGGCCAAGGCTACATGGTGTGCCCTTGTCTCAACAAAAGCCCAATACCGTATAGTGCTGGCAGACAGCCACTAATAACCGATATTCTTTTGGGGATCTCTGAGACATTAGATTTCTAAAGAAATACACTATAGGAGCCAGGTGTGGCACACACCTTTAACCCCAGCACATGGAAGGCAGAGGCAGGTAGATCTCTACAAAGTGAGTTCCAGGACATCCAGGATGATTACAAAGAGAAACCCTGTTACAAAAAAATAAATAAAAGAAGAAATTGGAGGAGAAAAGTATAATGGCGTTAAATTTTTTATAATAGTAAATTCTGTCTAATTCCACAATACTTTGCCAACATCTAAAGTCCATGCTGGTTGGATGAGGCAGAGACATTTTCTTAGTGATTTAGCCACAGGTAAAGTGTTTATGCTCCTGTAAACAACTCAAATGAAATTCATTGACTCCTTAAAAGAAAAGGGAAAGTAGGACAGTTGGGAAGAGGACAGGAGTCAGCTGGCATATTGGGACAAGAGGGTACCAAGTAAGTATGGTGGTCATGCATTGCATGCATGTAAGAAAATGTGATGGAACATCGTGATAATACATACTAAATGGGAATGAAAATGCACTTTGAGTTGGGCATAGTGATTCATACTTGTAATCCTAGTACTCCTAGTTTCAAAATGATGGGAAGAACACCTAAATACATGTTATACAGCATAGGCATCTCTGATGCAAATATACAGATACATAGGAGGGGTTCCTCCCCCACCCTGTGCTAGGGATGAACCCCAGAGCCTCATGGGTGCTAGGCAACCACCAGCCACCACTGAGCTACACTCCAGATCTATAACATAGCCCTCTTATTTGTTCTCTTAGGTATGTGTACATGAGTACAAGTCCCCATGGAGGCTAGAAGCATTGCATCTCTCTGTATCTGGAGTTACAGGAGGTTGAGTTGCCCAACATGAATGCTGGGAACCAAACTTGAGTCCTCTGCAAGAGCAGTGTATGCTCTACACAGCGCCTCCCCCCATACATTCAGAAAGGGCCAAAAGGTGTTAGAATGTTGGATAGTGGTATTTAAGTCAAGCTTTTCTATGTCTTGGGCTTTCCAGACCTTCCCTAAGATGGTTGTATACTCTCCCCTTCCTTTATTAGAGAGGGCAGGAATCTCTATATCTTAATGGAACGTGTTTAGCAGGAAAGGAAATGAGATTACAGTAAGAAGTAGAGGAGGTGTATTAGACACAGAAGGAGCAAGCCTAACCTAGCTACTACATCTACAAAGTGTACTCTGTAGATGCCCAAACGTGGCAGTTGACATCCAGCTGCTTTCTCTGTAGAGCTCACCTGACACCTCCTTGTGCAGTCCTCCCTGAAACCTAAGCTGAGGGAGAGTATGTGAGGACGGATAGATTCAAGGGTCTCATATAAAATGGAGTAGTGCTCAACTAGTTTCTATTTCCATCTAATCTAGCGATTCAGATTAAGAGCAGTTTCTTCTCCCCCAGCAATTGAATAGGGGGTTCTCAGAGTCAGCATCCTGGCCAGTCTTAACAGCATCCAGAAGGTGTACCCACATCAGTGGTGAGCCAGCTGGGTGTGGTCGTCCAAACCAGTGATCCCAGCGCTTGGAGACCGAGGCAGGAGGATCAAGAGTTAGTCTGTTACATATCTAGAACAATGGTTCTCAGCCTGTGGGTTGAGACCCAACTTGCAGGGGTTGCCTGAGACTATTGGAAAACATGTATTTACATTTATAATTCATTACAGTAGCCAAACTACAGCTATGAAGTAGCAACAAAAATAATGTGGTTGGGGGGTCACCACAACATGAGGAACTGTATTAAAGAGTTAGGAAGGTTGACAACTGCTATTTCAAAGGTATATCCATGTCAGCTTTAACTGTGGGCCCGCTGGGTATGGTAGTGCAAACTGGGGTTCCCAGCACTTGGGAGGCTGAGGCAGGAGGGTCAGGAGTTCAAGGTTAGCCTGGGCTCCATACCAAGACCCTGTCTCATTAGTGTAGGGGTGTTAAGCAGTAACTGGGAAAGCAATTCAGAGTACCGGAAGTTTCATCTGCCTCCCTGAGCCATAGTAACTACTTTCAGACCTCATAAAACCCACCCACTCAGTCCCAGGAAAACAAAATAGCAAAGTGGACCAGGGAGGTCCAGGAGGCTTCTGGGACTGTCTGGATTGGCCCCAGGAAAACAGCAGGTTTAGGGCCACAGGCAGCAGCAGAAGCATCTGAAAACCTGCACCGGCCTAATGTGGGTGGAAGGGCAAAAGAAACTATCATGGCTGAGGGCTTGACAGAGAGGAAGCAGATGAGCTGGTAAGGGAGAAGCTGGGCTGAGCACAGGACAGAACCCAGGCTCTCCAGCTCCCACTGCCTGAGCTGTCCCTTTAAACGTCATACCACACACAGTGTTTAGACAGAACAGAGAAGAAACAGACATCCTCAATCTCTGGGGAAGGAGGCTGGAACAGAGGATGGACTGTTTATTCCTGGCAGCCCCATACCCAAAGGGTCTTGCACCACTTAGTCCGGCCCCAGACAACACTCCCAGAGCCTGACTCTCAACCCACTGCCACTGCCGTTGCGTGGGTCTGAGACTGTGCGGCTGGCTTCCTGGAGAATGAGTTTAACGCAGCTCTGCTTAGTCTCCCAGCAGAAGCCCCGCCTCTCCATGACCCAGGAATGTGTGCTGTGGGGCAAATGGTGCCAGAGTTCTCAGACCTCTAGCCTTTGGAGCTGCGTTTCTCCAAGGGAACTGAAGTTCTCTTGCTCTATGAGGAAGGAGGTTAGTCTCATCTCAATCCCAGCTTTCTTGTTGCAGTCTTGACCTATTTCAGTCCTTAAGAAATTTGGCTGGACTCTTCTCCCCTCACCCTAACGCTGCACTTGAGACAGGAGTGCAAATCAGGCACAGAATTCTTGGCTTACACATGTGAACATGTGCTTCTTTTTCTCACTCTACCTAATTTCCTCAGTTTCCCTGTAGATCAAAAAATGCCATTCCTCTGATTCACTAGGCTCTCTATCTGCCTTTCTCGGCAGAGTGTTTGTTTGGAGGGGACAGGTGCCCAGAGGAGCAGACATCCATCCTGTGATGTTAGCATTAACAGGAATCGAGTACTCAAGAGCCAAGGGTTGAGCTGGCTCATGTTACCTCCTTTACTGGAGAGGGAGTCTCTTATTTCGGTTGGTTGGTTGGTTGGTTGGTTGGCTGGTTGGTTGGTTTTGTTTGTTTGAAACAAGGTCTCAACTATGTTTCTGAAGCTGGCGGCAACTCACTGCAACCCAAATGTCTCAGCACACAAGTGCTCAGATTACAAACTAGGGTAAGGAAGTACAAGTTTTAGCTCCACTATGCAGAGAAAGAAACTAAATTGTGTCTCACATGGTGGCACATGCCTTTAATCCCAGCACTCAGGAGGCAGATGGATCTCTGTGAGTTCAGGACTAGCCTGATCTACAAAGAGAGTTCCAGGACAGCCAGAGCTGTTACAGAGACACCCTGTCTGGGGGAAGAAGAAAAAAAAAAAAAAAACAAAAAACGGAAAAAGAAACTAAGTTGAGAGAACTTAAACAGTTTGCCCAAGTTCCAAAGTTCCCACAGCTAGAACAGTGGGCCCACTGCCAGCCCTGTGTCAACCACAGTGTATGCCTCAGCTTCATGGAGGAGGAGGAGTCTGTCATTAGAGTTGATCTCCCCTCACTACTGTCAAGCATTGTGTGCACAGGTGCCTCCCTGCTACAATCTCAGCAGGTTGTTTTTCCTTTGGGGGAAGACTGACAACATTGAAATAGGCTCACTGTAACCCAGGCTAGCCTCAAATTTACACTGATCTCCATGCCTCAACTTCCCAAATATTAGAATTATGGGTTTGAACCTCTGTACCAGATCCATTTGTGCCTTATGAATACACCCAAACTTAACTGAGAAAACAGTTGAGGACTGGGGATGAAATTTGAGTTAATGAGTACTAATCTAATGAAACATAGGAATTTGAGGCACACCTGGATAATATGAGACTCTATTTCACAACAAAATAAAAGTTGAGAGGTATGTAGGATGACCCCAGACTCAGGAAGACAAGGCTGGATTTCTAAGCTAAAAGACTTATCGAGTGATGAGGGTCAATGAAGATTCTCAGGCCCCAACCCTTAATTAACCACCACTCTCCATCTTGCATACACACTATTCTTTGGTGTTTCTAGCTAGTTTGCCAGCTTCTGTGGCCATTCAGGGTTTAAGATACCTAAAACAGCCGGGCGTTGGTGGTGCACACCTTTAATCCCAGCACTCGGGAGGCAGAGGCAGACGAATCTCTGTGAGTTCAAGACCATCCTGGTCTCCAGGGCGAGTGCCAGGATAGGCTCCAAAGCTACACAGAGAAACCCTATCTCGAAAAAACAAAAAAAATACCTAAAAAGACTCTATTAGCTGGTGTGTGTGTGTGTGTGTGTGTGTGTGTGTGTGTGTGTGTGACAAAAAAAAGATACCTAAAACAACTCTATTAGCTGATGTGTGTGTGTGTGTGTGTTGTGTGTCAGACAGTCATTAGCTGGAATGTATTCCCCAGATGAGCCTGGCAATGACAGCAAGAGGGTTGTCAGAGGTAAGGAAAAGCCCCTAGGCTTCATGATGTGGCAGACTCCTAGGGAAAGGTTCACTTAAACGGGAGGGGAGGCCTCTCTGTAACAGCAGTCAGGATGTGCCAAGTCCCACCCCAGAGGCGGGGCCAAGACTGAGGCCCTCCAGCTTGGACTCCTCCATCCCTTCAGGAACCCAGACCAGGACAGAGCCTGAGTCTGCTTCCTGCTGTCCCCAGCATAGAAGCAACATGTACTCATTGGCCAGGACACCAGGCATGGCCAGAAGCCCTGCAAGAGTGGCTGCTGTGAGTCTCTGATCCTCAGAGGAAGGCCCAGCTAGCAAGCACCACCTGCTCCTAACAGCCATGTGAGTGGATACACCCCAACCCCTCCAGGTCCGATCCTCGAGTATTCGGGAGACACAGTTCCCACCCCACCGGGACATTACCCCCGGATGTAGATTCTACCTTTCTTTACTCTTGAGGGAGGCTAGTAAGGGTCTGAAGGGCTGGGGGCTCAGGCTCAGGCTCAGGCTGGTCCTGTAGTTTATTAAAAGTGGATGGTGTAGTGGGGAAGGGGAGCAAACTCGAGGGCTGCTAGAAAGGGACAGATAATCCTGGGTGACAGGCTGGTGGGGGAGACTGATGAAGAAATAAGGCCACGGGAGGGAAAAGCATCAGGTGTGCAGTTCTGGGAGCTGTTGGGATGAAAGGAGAACATCTCTCAGCTTCAGGTAACCATAGAGCTGATGCAGGTCCTGGGAGAGGCCTGAGGAGGGGAGGGCAGAATCCTTCCTTATTGACTTTGATCCTAGCAACAGCAGATGCTCTCCAGTTGATAGGATCCAGGACCCCTCCCACTGGCCCTTGAATGTGGCTTGGGGCTGAGACCAGGCAGCCAAGTAAACGAAAGCAACGGTCAGTTTGAAGGCTCTGCCTTGTCCCCTGGGTTCAGCCTGTGCTTAGAGGTTAAGGGGGTCCCTCTCTGTTCTTAGCACCCCCAATTCCTTGCCAAGCATCTCCCCACCCATCCCTCTAGTTCCCAGGAAGGGCCTGTTGCTAGTGTGGAACAGACGAGTCAAGTTTATGGGCTGGAAGTCCTACCCAGAGGCTGTTCACTGAGCTGTAACAGACTCCAAGTGTAGACAGGGTGGGGGTGCAGGGACAGGGCACTCTGTGACTTCCCGTGGCTGTCTGGGCACTGTCCTCTCTTGGCACCCCAATGTGGGCAGGCAAAAGTTGACATACTTTGGGTAGGTTGCCTTACAGTCTAAACAGACATAAACACAGCTGTCCTCAGGCTGGAGGATGACTGAGATAGGTGAAGCTCCCCAAATGTGGATATTGACTGAAGGGCAGCCTCTAATACCTTACAAAGGACCATGTTGTCAGAACTGATTTCCCAATCAAAACCAAAAGCATGACTTCCCTATGTAATTTTTAATGTTTCAACTGAGAAAGTCTGTATCAGCAAACAGGGTATGGCCCAGGCTGAGTCTGCAGCCTCTATGTTAATGTGCTGTGCCCCACCCCCACCCCCACCCCCCCCCCCACCAGGACGGTAACTGCAGCGCCAATCTAATTCTGCCCACTCCTCCATCCAGGCATGCTGACTGCAGCTCCAGGCCCTCCGTGTGCCAAGACCCATGATGACACCCAACAACACTGGGGAGGTGGCCAGCTCCATTCCCATGGGGGCACTGGAGCTTTCCCTGGCCCTGGCAAGCCTCATCGTCGTCGCCAACCTGCTCCTGGCCCTAGGCATCGCCCTGGATCGCCACCTGCGCAGCCCACCTGCCGGCTGCTTCTTCCTAAGCCTGTTACTGGCCGGGCTACTCACAGGGCTGGCACTGCCCATCCTTCCTGGGCTGTGGAGCAGGAGCCACCGGGGCTACTGGTCCTGCCTCCTTCTCCACTTGGCACCCAACTTCTCTTTCCTTTCCCTGCTCGCCAATCTGCTGCTAGTGCATGGGGAGCGCTATGTGGCAGTCTTGCAGCCACTCCGGCCCCATGGGAGTCTGCGACTAGCACTGCTCCTCACCTGGGTCAGCCCCCTGCTCTTTGCCAGCCTGCCTGCTCTGGGCTGGAACCACTGGAGTCCTGGTGCCAACTGCAGCTCCCAAGTTGTCTTCCCAGCCCCCTACCTCTACCTCGAAGTCTATGGGCTCCTTTTGCCTTCTGTGGGGGCTGCTGCCCTTCTCTCTGTCCGAGTGTTGGCCACTGCCCACCGCCAGCTGCAGGATATCTGCCGACTGGAACGGGCAGTGTGCCGTGATACACCCTCAACCCTGGCCAGAGCTCTCACCTGGAGGCAGGCTAGGGCACAGGCAGGAGCCACGCTGCTCTTTTTGCTGTGCTGGGGACCCTATGTGGCGACACTGCTCCTGTCAGTGTTGGCTTATGAGCGGCGTCCACCACTAGGGCCTGGAACTCTGTTATCTCTCATCTCACTGGGCAGCGCCAGTGCTGCAGCTGTGCCTGTAGCCATGGGTCTGGCTGATCAACGCTACACAGCCCCATGGAGGGCAGCTGCCCAAAGGTGGCTGCGAGTGCTTCGAGGAAGAGCCAAGAGGGACAGTCCAGGCCCCAGCATTGCCTACCACACCAGCAGCCAAAGCAGCATGGACCTGGGCTTGAATTAGGGAAACAGATGCTGCCTCCCAGGAGCATCCCTCCATCTCTTATGCCTGACTTCTTTAGAGTGGAGCCATTGCTCCATGAGACCTCACCCTGACCAAATAAATTTCTGGTCATAATTTCACAGTATCTCCTTCAGTATCTCAATGAGGGAGAGGGCGGGTTGACTGCCCTAAAATGACCCAGAGAGAGCCTGAGCACCAAGGAGAGATTTCACCTCCAACTAGGCACTGTTCTCCTGTCCAGCCACCACAAAATGCACACAGACACTGCCTCTGGGAAGTATATTTTATTTACATTTTTAAAATCTGTAACTAGTCTCTCTTCCTCCTTTCCTTCCCCAGAGAGTTGGGAAGGGAAAGAACGGGAACCTCAAAGACCTAACCCCCACATACAAAGACGCACCCCATGGCTCACACCAGCAAATCAAAGTGAAAGAAACATGGGCCTCCTAAAGGGCCCCAGGGCTGGACAGGGGAGGGAGGGCCTGGTAAGGCGGGTCTCCAGGGAAGAAAAGGACAAGGAGCGGGCAGGTCAGCTGAAGGGGTTGGAAAGCAGTCCAATGCCCTCCCCTCCTTCTCCCTCTGCACCCTGCCACCTCTGCTGGGGGGGCAGGGGTCTCCCTTTATCCCCCTCAACACCAGACACTATGCCAGAGCCACAGCCGTTAACGGTCAGGTCTCTGGACACAAAATACTTTCGCTTTGTGGTCTCCTGATGTTGTCACCACCAGGGAGGCATCTCTGTGGATAGAAAACAGGGGTTAAACGACTGAGGCACCTGAGGCCTAGTTCAAGCCTATTCCCCAGAGATCCTAGGGCAGCTGCTCTAGCATCACCTCTATTCTAGGTCCCTAGCAGAGCCTGCACCTGGTTCTCAAGCCCTTCCCACAAAGCCAGGGAGCTGACTCAACTATGTCCATGAAAACTGCAAGAGAATCAATGAAGGAAACCCCGAATATGGGAACAATACAGATCCAAATGGGACAGGTTCATTCTTAGCCTCCTGCCCCACAATGGGTAGGTCATTGCCAATCTCTGGGACAGGAATGGATCCTGACTGCACAGGTGGCCTGGCATTCAGGCATTGGGTCTCATTTCCCATTCCCCAAAAGACCTATGTTACCTCACGCCAGACCCACTTGCTAGAGGTGCCAGTCCATTGTGCTTACTTGCTGAGGGCAAAATCCAGGATCTCAGCAGTGTGGCCCCGGTAGTCAGTAAGCAGGCGGCCAGTTCGGGCATCCCAGAGACGAACAATGCCATCCAGGCTACAGGTGTACACCACAGCAGTGCCAGCCTCCCACAGCAGCTGAACAATGCCCGACTGTCCCAGGTTGTGACACAGTAACAGAGTAGGGAAAAAGAAGGAAGAGAAGAGACACTGTCCCCACCCTCAGAGAGAGGTGGGCACAGGGCCATGGAGGACAGGCTGCCCCTTCACCAGCACAACAGCCCACTAAGTAGGAACAAAGCCCCAGACATCATACCTGGTGCTGGCATTGGTGCCGGAGTGTCTGCGTGGACAGGTCATAGATAGCCAGTGTTCCATCCAGATAGCCAACAGCAGCCAGAGGCATCCTGGTAAGCAGGTGACACAAGGCTCTTGAGGCTCTAGATTCATGCACCTTTCCTCCTCCCTGGTCCTAATGCCTGGGTCCCTCTGCAAAGCCACCTCCTCCCTCAGTCTCTGCTCACACTCACACACTGCAGAAGCCCAAGGACTCCACAGAGTTCGACTCACTCTCCTCCCCTTCTCCCAGGCTGGGCTGGGAGGTGACTGTCTCAGGTCTGAACACACCCACAACCTATAGGTAAGAGAAGAGGGGGGTCACAGAACTGAGCTCCAGGTCTCTTAACAGAAGAAAAGGGCAAGGGAAGGGCAGAAGGTTCAGACAGAAGCCCTAGCTACTTACCTTGCCTGTGGTGGCACTGACCAGCTTGGCCTGGCAATCCACAGAGCCAGTGAGGATCAGGCTGCCATCCTGGTTGGTGGCAACACAGGTCAGAGGGCCCTGGTGACCCTCAGTTCCTAGGACAGAGCAGGGGAACATTGGCTCCGAGTCCCTCACTGGCTCTCTGGTTCCCCCAAGCCCAGGTCAACATCCTCCCTCCTCTGATACCTTTCAGTACATGGATGGGGTTTCCCTGCTTGAGGTCCCAAATCCTGATGGTACCATCTTCATATCCTACCACAGCTCTCTTCCCTAAAGACCAAGGCACGAATGACCAAAAGACACAGGGTACAGTCAGATACACCAAGCAAAGAATTAGCAGGGAAAATAGAGTAGCGGACCCCAAAATTCCCCCTGGAGTCACAGTAAGACCTAGTGTGGGGCAGCAGGAGGCTGGGATGACTGGAATACCCCCCAAGTCACTGGATCCACCTCTACCCTCAGGAAGAAGAGACAGCTGCTCTCACCATCAGGGAGGACACGGCCACAGGTTGCAGGGCAATTGGGGCCCTGGAAGGTCTTACAGTCACCATTCGGTACCTTCCACATCCAAGTGTTGCCGTCAGCTGTGCCCGCTAATAGGACAGGTGCCCGAGGGTGCCACTCCATCCACTGGGCAGAGAGGAAGGATCAGCAAGCAAGCCTGCTACCCAGCCAATCTGAGAGTCCATGAACCCCACCCATGTGTCCCTGCTTCTAGGGTTAGCATGTACGTTACTGGTGAACAGACATAGTGCTGAAGCTGAGCTACTATGGTTACTATGGTTCAAAGCAACCTTCTCCAGTATGGCTATGCCTGCCCCTCCCCCTCTGAGAAGTGCTCATCCCTACTTGAGGTCCCACAGAGTTGAAGCCCACTCCAAGGATCTCACCTCCAGGTCTCCTGCTTCAAAAGACCAGACTTCTTCCTTAGTATCAACTTGCCACACTTTCAAAAGACCACTCATGTCCCCTGTGGCCACTAGGGTGGAGTCATGGCTAAAACCAGCACATGTCACAGAGTCTTTATGGCCTGCAAAGAGAAATGGGCAGACTTTCAGTTCAAATGTGCCTGAGGTGTAGCAAGTTCAAGGCTAGCCTTGGCTACATAGTAAATCCAAGGCCAACCTAAACTATGTAACTTAAAAGAAAAAGTGGCAGAAAAGGAAGGACAGTAAAAGGTGTCTAAATGCTGGGGACATATGACCCATATATTTGGCTACCTTTTAAAAAACAACTAACTAGAAAAAAGGTAGGAGGGCCTCAGCAGAACAAGTGACCAAACTCACTGTAGCTCCAGGGCCCAGAAACTCCAGGTGTTCCAAGAAGATACTGTTGACCCCACTGTTCAACCACCCAAAGCCTGGGACTCCCAGGCCATACTTCTGTCTTCTGTTCTCCGTGCCTCTATCTACTCCTACACAGTACCACCTCCTCCCGTGCCCACCTTAGCCACACTCCTTTGGCCAATTAGCACTTCCTGTCCAAGTGCCCACAAAAGTTATTCTTCTAGTGTGGGTTCCTGGATCCAGCACAAGACAAAGGCTAGTAAATAGCTGCTGTGTGTTCACACAGGCCACCTGCCAAGATGTCCAGAGGGACACAACCTCCCCAGCCTCTTACCTGCACACTCGAAGAGCAGCTCTCCATCACTGAGTCTCCACACAAAGGCTTTGTCATCTTCACCCCCTGTCACTGCCAAGGTGTTGGTTTTGGGGTCCAGGCTCACGCAAAACACAGATGCTGTCCCAAGAGATAGTCCACAAGAAAGGGGATGGAACTGGGCTCTCACCTAGAGTTCTGGTCTTCAAAACCTTTGGGGAGGCACACCCCTTTTCCCCAAGGCCACAGGTATTCTCTCCTGGACAGGCTACACCCAGTAGCAAGACCCAGTTCTTGTCTGAAGCATTAGGTTGTTAGGGAAATCCTTCACAAGTCCTCCTCCTGCTGCTGTCCTGTTCCTATTACCATCCCACTCTGAGGTACAAGCCAAGCGGTGGGTCCATGGGCACAGCTAACAGCACAGGGTTCCACCAGGCTGGGTATGAATTAAGTGATGGGAGCCTCATGAGACTGGCTTACAAAGAACTAGCTCCTGAGAAGATTATCGTTAAGGCTACTTTTGGAGTGTCACTTGCCTTTAATTTCCACCAGGATTACGTCCATTCACTTTCATCTAAGAGGACTTCTTTTGTTTTTCCAGACAGGGTTTCTCTGTGTAGACCAGGCTGGCCTCAAACTCAGAGATCCACCTGCTTCTGCCTCTCAAGTGCTGAGATTAAAGGTGTGCACCACCACCACCACTACCAAGTTGACTTTTTAAAAAGGAACACCAAGATCCAGAAAGCTAACAAAGGTGATAAACAGCAGAGGTAGGATTTGAACCTAGGTGTCTCACTTGACACCACTGCCAAATCTAATCCCTTTGGTCCTTCCTGTGAATTTCCTGCAGGCTTTCCTATTTGTCTCTCATAATATCCTGTTCAGGGCCAACTGGTCATACTCAAAAGTCCATCTGCACTGATCTGAGGTGAGCCCCTTCAAAGGCCTACCTGAGTGCAATGCAAAGGTGACCTCGCTATCATCCGGACCCTCCATGCTGCCGACCACCCCTTCCTGGGGTTCCAGGACCCAGCCCTCGTCATTGCCCTCTTCCTCCTCCTCTTCTTCCTCAAAGTCCACGTCTTCCATCTCCTGGGCCAGATCATCTGCTTTGGGAAAAGCGTTAAAAGATGGATCTCGAAAGATATAAGAGGAATGGGGTGAAGAGTGAATAGGACGACGCCAGAGTGGGTCATGTGGCCAAAGGTTAAGGTGTCGTCCCACACGTACCGAGGAGGAGGAGAGCGCTTGGGGGGCGGAGAAGGGGAGAGAGGCTAGGTCTGAAGACCTGGCGTTGGCCAGCGACCGTGTGGGAAGAGAGGACAGAGGGCATGACGGGAAGGGGGTGTGTGAGGGGAAGGGCCAGGGGAGGCGTCAGGGAACCCCCACCCAGCCAGGCCTCGAAACTAAGTGTGGGGGGTAGGGAAGGAGGGCTGGGAGAGAAATGTCGGTAGGAACGACCGGTAGGGAAGGGGGGAGGGGGAGGAAGCAGGGGTCAGAGGCCAGGGGTGAGCGCCTCCTGTCCCATGGCCTGAGGAGCGACAGTTCTCACCCGGGTCGGGCGGGCCTGGATCCAGCTCTACCACCTCAATGATCTCTTCATCTCCGTGGAAGCTTAGAGTCTCCAGCGGCGGGGGGGC